CCAAAAAAAAAAAAAAAAAAAAAAAAAAAGAATCCCAGTGTGGGGGCAGGAGAGGTACCTGAGTCTTACAACTCTCTGGTGAGTTACTGGCTGTTGATGCCTGCCAGGGAGGGAACGTCACTTTTTAGGCGTGTTCCCCATATGGTAAATGACCCAACACTCATATGCACATACAGCATTAAGTAGATGCAGTAAACAAGAAATAAATATGAAAGGTAACTTAAGTGCAGGAGGGAGAAATGATGGGGACCCTGGTTTAGGGATGATATTATCAAATACATCAAATATGCATATGTATTTTAAAAAATAAATAAAAATAATTTCTAGAAAGACTAAATAAGAAAACCTTTTCAAATTTCTTCAAGTTATTTCTTTTTCTGCTATGTACTCCATACTCCACTATACAGACCTGCTCACAGCCATTTGGTACGTGTCGGGTGGGAGGGCTTGTGGGACAGACCATATGAAGGTGGAAAGAGCACATAGATGTCACGAACACACCTCTGCAGGGTGGACAGAGCAGCATCAGACACCAGACTGGAAGCAGCCAATCCTGAAGGCTCCTGGTGCCTATGGAGACTGTTAAAAAGGAGAGCACACGTATCTTAAAACCCAGGTCTAAGAAATCTCACTGTTCTTGTGGTGCTGATGACTCCTGCCATTTGATTTGGAGTTGTTGTGTGTGTGTACATGCATGTGTGCATGTGTGTGCCTCTGTGTGCGTGTGTCTGTGTGTGTGTCTGTGGGTCTGTCTGTGTGTGTGCACACGCATGTGCATGTAGAAGTCCAAGGACAACCTAAGTGTCATTCCTTGGATGTTACTTTGTTTTTTAAGACAAGCCTATCACTGGCTGAAATTCACCAAGTAGGCTAGCTGGTTGCTTGGCCAGGGAACCTAAAGTATCTTTCCTACCAGCACTCCAGCTCTGGGACTCTGCTACAGGGCTGACTATTTATTTATTTATTTTCCTTAGAATTCTAAGTATTGAACTCAGGTCCCCAAGCTTAGAAGGCAAGCACTGAACCATCTCTTCAAACCTGGTGCTGCTGTTAATACCATTGACAGCTTCAGATATAAGGCCGAGTGTGTTGACATTGGTTTGACTCTTCGGGGATGATCCCAATACACAAGGTATTGCTTTTCACAGAAGCAATAAACTGTTTAGGCTCTGTGGCTGAATTTCGGGCAGTCACTGAAGAGTGTTGATCTTCCATTTCCTTTCCATCCACAAGATTCCAGCAGCTCCTCATGGCCCAGCTTGCAGGGAAGGGATTTTCTGGTTCATGCTGACAGTAGATGCTTCATGAGAAAAACTGGAAGTCCACTGGAAACACACACACACACACACACACACACACACACACACACACACAGAATTTGAAGATGTCTAGAGATGTGGGGGTGGGAGGAGTTGTAGTTCAGAGACTCTGAGAAGCTGGAAATGTGGCTTTCCACTATTCTGTTACAGCAAAGCAGGAAAGAGTTGCCACTAAGTCGCAGTGAGCAGAATCAATCTGGTCCAGGGTGGCTGACTCATATGAGCCATGGAAACACAACCCTCTTGCAGGAGGGCCAACGCTGAATTAGGAGAACAGCATCTCCTCCTCGTAGAGGTGAGTTCTAATTAGGAGGTTGGAGGAGAAAGTTGCAGGCCTGGAACTGTTTGTTTGCTTGCTTGCTTTCCTAGAACTCACTTTATAGACCAGGCTGGCTTCAAACCCACAGAGATCAGCCTGCCGCTTCCTCCCAAGTGCTGGGATTAAAGGCGTGTACCACCACTGAATGACATCATGTTCTTTCTAATGACACTTCAATAACCTGTCCCAGTAAAGGGAGCCAAGGTCCACTAAAAGCACATTCCAACTGACCTCGCTGCGAGCCATCCCTTCTTGTCTCTCTTAATTCAACTTGTTTCTCAACAGTGAATCAGAAGTTGCTTCCTCCTTAACTGACCTTTGGGCCTGAAGGGGTAAAATCTCCTACAACACCTCCAGGAAGCTGAGCAAGGAATCCAGGAAGGCAAGACTTAGCTCCATGACCCTCATGTCTAAAGATGCTGAGAGGACCAAGCCAGGCCCTCAGCCCTGGTCTCCTGCCCCGGCGAAATAAATTTAGTAGGTCCCAGCCATGAGAGGCTCTGGGTTTTCAGCCTCCTGCTCTGGGAAAGAACTGTGTGCCGTATGCTGGGGTGGTCTTCAAACCTGTAGGGAATGTGTGTGATTTGAAAACGTGTGTGATGTGTTCGTGTCAGCTGCTGCTGTGTTTCTGCAAACACTCCTCCGTGGCTTTCAGCACAGCCTTGAGAATACAGAAACAGTCTAGGCAGCATCCAGCGCTCCTGTTCTGACACTTAGCCAAGTGATTGTTTTCAAGGAACAAACTCAATCCCTTCTGCATGCCTGTCCACATCAGGAATTTCTATGGAAGAATTCATTCTTCCAGCCCTTCCCTGAAGCCACAGTTAAGGGAAAAGACTAGAAGAAGAAAGCCCATTTGTCATTTGTTTCCAGTCTGAATACAAATATTGGAAGTTGATGTTTATAACTGGATGGTTATTTTGCAACAGAAATAAAAGAAAATGATGAAACTTAGGATGAAAAAAAAAAGGACTCTTGGGAAGGGGACCAAGAACGTGCTCTCTACATTGGCCTTTTAGTCAAAGTCATACAGTACGATTTAGGGCTTTCCTTCCAGATACTTGATTTTATTGGTTTGCCAGGAATTTGTGTTTGTTTTTCAAGGAAACTGTATATGAGGAAATAAAATGTTCAGTTCTTATTTGCCAAATGCCTGCCACCCTCCCCTCTTGGCAAGGTGTCATGCTAGGAAATGTACAAGAAGCCTTGCACTAGAAAAACCTGTGTTCCAGGTACCATGATTTACAAATGGCATCACAGATGGTCATCATAGCCAAAGGCCTCTGACAGGTGGCTTTCTCACTGAGAGTGTTTATGAGGGCTGGAAGTGATGGCTCAGCAGGAAAGAGTGCCCACTGTCTTGCCAAGGACCAGGGTTATGTTCACAGAACCCTCTCGGGCAGTTCACTGTAACTCTTACTCCTGGGATCCTGACGCCCTCTTCTGGGCCAACAGCCACTCACACTCACTTATGCATCCTCACAAAAAGACAAATACACAAAATAACTAAAAACTAAAATAAAAGCTATTTTAAAGAGAATTTTATGATCAAAATGGAGCTGATTTCACCAACAAATTTGTTCTACTTTCCTTCTTATGAATTTTAATGACTGAAGCAAATCTAAGGCTTTAATACCTATTTGGAATAACTGGAATCTTCTAATGAAAACGACCTTCAGCCAGTGTCATTCAGGAATCTATTGGTGGGCAATTCTTGGCTGATATGTTTTTGTTTGAGTTCATGCCAAGGTGACATTTTTGGTGCTCTCCTTCACCTGGAGATTCCCCCTTGCCAGCCCCATGGCTTCCCTTTTCCCTCTATGGTCCTTATGGCCTCAACCATTCTCATAATTTTGTACATGAATCGCAACTGATGATGCTCAGAAGTGTAACTCCAGTTTGAGCCTCTTTTCTGAATGCCAGCCTCTCCCACCTAACATCCTTATTAAACATCAAATGTGCACCTTCAATTCGACATGAGAATTCCAGTCTTGCATTCCAGACCTCATTGTCCCACATCTGTCTCAACAGCTGAGAACTCTCTCTTTGCAGTTGCTCAACTGCACGGAAGAGTCATCTGGAGCCTGTCTTCTGTGGCACCCCATATGCTGCCAGCTCCACATCAGCAAACATCCCTCACCACCTCCACGTTCAGCAGAAACCCCACATTCTTCCCTTGCTCCCCCAGTACTCAGAAGAGATGGGATCCGGTGCTTTCTAATCCCTGCCAACACCGGGCCTTTGCTCAAGCTGCCTTTATAGTATGCCTACATTCCTATGGGAGGTCATTGAATGGTGCCTCTCTCCTGTGTTGGCCTTCAATCTGTTATGAACATAGCTGGAAGAACCCTGTTCATGTCTAAGGCATGATCCGTGATCTCACAGCTGTCAGGTGCTTTCAGATTCTCATCTGGGGCTAGAACCCCCGTCACCATCAGTAACACCTGGTAGATTCTCAATAAAAACGTGCTGAAGTGATTGGTTAATTAGTTTCAGCTTTTCTTTGGGGTACACTGTTATCCATACATCTATTGGCCTCTAAATTTTCTTTGGGGAAAATTAATTTGAGGAAGGTTATATATTAATAATAACCAAAGAATTATGGTATTTGTTGTCAATTTACCAACTTTAATCTTGTTCTCTTTTGCAAACTGAAGATTTCATTTCAGTATGGCCAGAGCTATTTCCACAATGGCTTTTTGCCCCGGGAAGGTCTTTTGCAAGGAAAAGCGAATATCTTGGTGCTATGCTTTTGTCCTCTCGTCCTGTGTCTCCTCCCACAGGCATCAACAGGAAGGTTGTGTACTCCCTGGAGGACTCAGCCAGTGGGGTCTTCTCCATCGACAGCTCCTCTGGCGTCATCATCCTGGAACAGCCTCTGGACCGAGAACAGCAGTCATCCTACAACATCAGTGTCCGGGCCACCGACCAGAGTCCTGGACAGTCCCTCTCCTCGCTCGCCTCGGTCACCATCACCGTCCTGGACATCAATGACAACCCCCCTGTGTTTGAGAGGAGGGATTACCTAGTAACGGTGCCTGAGGACACTTCCCTTGGTACCCAAGTTCTCTCTGTGTTTGCAACCAGCAAAGATATCGGCACGAACGCTGAGATAACGTATCTCATCCGGTCTGGGAATGAACAAGGGAAGTTTAGGATCAACCCAAAGACAGGTGGGTACATGACAATTCCAATAGTGCTTCCTGTTTCTTTTCCCATCCCGTCATCCTCCTGCCTCCCTTGCAGGGCCTGCATGCAGACTTCAGTGCCCAGCTCCTAACAATGATCCTTCTAAATTCCAAACACCAAGCAGTGGGCTCACTTGGCAAATTCTTGACCCATGCGTTGACTACGGAACACCTAGTTAGGAGGATTGGGTCAGCAGTGTGTTTTCTGTGTAGCAGCTGTGAAGCTGTGATGTCTACATTCAAGCACAAGAGTGTGTTTGTGTCTCCCTTCTGTTAGCTCTTCTTGGATCTCGTGTGCCTATGGTAGGAAGGGAACAGGAGATGAGCTGCCCCTGTACTCCGCCTACAGATAGCTGACCACTCTCTGGTCATGACTGACAGTGGCCATGATCCCCAGCACATCAAGCGGTGCTTTGTTGTCAGTCCAAACGGTGTGTATCTGGGTGGTTTCCACTACTCTTGGTTCAGCGTACCTTTGGTGTGCACCCTTCTGGAGGAGCTATTCTCTAATAGTCCAGGCTATCCCCATTTTCCAGGCAGGAGGTAAGTTCCTCACACCTCTGACCTTTGCCCATTTCCTAAATCACTCAGGAAACATGTCGCTATTGTGCGAGATGGCAGAGGAGGCCATTTCTCCTAAGTCAGCACATAGGAAAAGGGTAGTACCATGATCACCAACATTCAATCACCATTGGCAGTATTCTGCCGTCCTATGAAATCTTTGTGTATAGCTCACATACTCCAGATGAGAAAAACAGAACTTTTGAGCAGTTCAATAATTTCCCCACCCTTCGCTATTCGTAAGTGGATTATCTAATATTTGAATTTTTTTCTCCCTGGCACAGGAATGCACACTCTAATCCTGTCATGACATAACTGTGTACAAATGTAAAAATGTACCCTTGAGTAAAAGAAAGTAGTATTGATTGACAGGCTGCATTAGCAGGACCTCCCAGCAGAAAGTGTTTATTAGGATCATTACTTCAGATCAAACTGGATGAAGAGTTCACTCACTGCGATATGCATTAGCTTTACCCTGTCCAGCTATGACAATTCTATATGAACACCATGGGGAGGTGGTTAAGGATAGTTTAAAGTTGTCATTAGGTAACTAAACTGGAAAAGTTAAGCTCCAAGGGTAGTAAGTGCTCAGAAAATCCAATTATGAATCAAAATGGGCTCTAGATAGAAGTACAGTTTCTGTTTCCACCATAATTTGAAGGAAACTATTGGCAGTCTTAGCACTAGAGTCCTCTGGCTGATTATGCCCAAGAAAATGATCTCTCATTTGACCTAATGATTGTTTTCCAGAGAAAGACAAACACCTGGGAACTGTCTTCTAGGCACAGTAGGTAGCTAGCAACTTAAGAGCACTGTACACGGTCACTACCAGACAGGGCTGGGACAAGGAGGGTGGGTGGCTCCCTCCCAGAGTCCATCTTAAAAGTTGCCCTCAACTAGAACCCTTCTTTTCTTCTGTTCACGTGATTCCTTGTGGTTGTGAAAACCTGGGCTACATAGGTGTGAACATCTGGGTTATGTGGGTGTGAACACCTGGATTATGTGGGTGTGAACACCTGGGCTATTTGGGTGTGAACACCTGGATTATGTGGGTGTGAACACCTGGATTATGTGGGTGTGAACACCTGGGCTATTTGGGTGCGAACACCTGGATTATGTGGGTGTGGACACCTGGGCTACATGGGTGTGAACACCTGGGTTACATAGGTGTAAACACATGGGCTACATAAGTATGGACTCCTGGGCTACCTGGGTGTGAATACCTCAGCCATGTGGCTGCAGACACTGAAGGGCTGCCGATTTCCAGGAGCCCTTTTCACCTCATGCCACCCTGCCTTGAGAGTCCCTGTGTTTTCATCCTCTGTGCATGCTCACTCCAGATGGACACATCATCAATGGGCACAGCAGCTGTGTGGTTAATTCAGTTCAGCGCTGGCCATGAGTGGTTACCTGATGACGGGGTGGGGGGGCAGTGCCCTCCAGTCACAAGTGCACACAACGTGTTCTTCCTTCCCCGGGGTCACTCAGAGACTAGAGAGACAGTGCTCAGGGTGCTGTCCCTGTCCAGCTCTCTGGTTTCACAAGTAGAAACTTCTACTGCCTAAAATAAAGCCTGGAATTATCACAGAAACTGTGAGCACTGCCCATTTCTTCAGGAACGTGTCTGATAGACGGCTATGCTTTAACTGGCAGTGTTCATTAGACTTCCACAAAGTTTTCAGGGACTCACAAGCAAATGCCCAAACTTACAGTCTTGGCTAGGGATGATATAAATCACACTTTGCCTACAGAACAGCTGAACCAGGTTTCCCCCTAATCAAATATAAACTTACCTATTTTCCTTTGAAGGGGGTATTTCTGTCTTGGAAGCTCTGGACTATGAAGTATGCAAAAGATTTTACCTGGTGGTAGAAGCTAAAGATGGGGGCACCCCAGCCCTGAGCGCTGCAGCCACCGTCAGCATCGACCTCACAGATGTGAATGATAACCCTCCTCGATTCAGTCAAGATGTCTACAGTGCCGTCATCAGTGAGGATGCCTTGGAGGGGGACTCTGTCATTCTGGTAGGTGCCAGCAGCATCTGAATTCTGGGACAAAACATCCTCACAGCGAGAAATGAGTGAGGTCTGTCTTAGACTCTGTTTCCCCTCCTCCGTTCAGTGTTTCAAGGATGTCTGTCACACGTGGGCTTTGAAGAGCTCCTTCTCCAGTTTGTGTGTTAGAAGGAGTCCTACGGGTTCATTTATATCAAGCTATAAATTTCTAGTAATTGCTTTCCTTACAGAAGTATATACTTTTAAAGAAAATGCAAGATAGCGTAGATGAGCTTTTTAAAGCTCCGAGGCAGCTAATCCACGACTACAGAGTAATTGACCCATGACTAAAGAGGAAATACGTGGATATCGTCCTACTGGAGAACGGGGATTCTCCAGTGTGAGTGTGAGAAAAGCACTGGTTGAAGAGGGAGCACGGCCCACTGTGGTGGACAGGCATGGCAATAGAAGAACAAGCCTAGTCATGTCCAGTCAGGAAGCAGAGAACAATGCTCCACTAGGTTTCTGTAATCTTCTTTTCCATTCTTTCTAGGGCCCCAACTCATAGGGATGATGTCATCCATAGAACCCCTCAAATAGTCCTCAGAGCTGTGTCTCCCAGTGATTCCCGAGCCAGCCACACTGGGTAAACAGCCAGCCCAAGTGGCTGAGAATACTGTTTGCAGAACTGTAAAGAGGTCATGAAATTGGCTTTGTCCGTTAGCTCTGGGGTCTGTCATCATGGTCTCAAACCTGATGAAAATCAGGCCCAACTGATGTCAGACTCTGGAAAGGTACAAATTAATAAGGAAATAAATGTTCCATGCTATTGCTGCCCTCTTTTGTCCCACCAATCATCCCCCCCCCCCCCGGGAACTTATCATGCATAGTTCTAGAATACTGCCAGCCGGAGATGCTAAGGATCAACCTTTTGTCTTTCTCTTGCATTATACCTTGTCTTTGCTTTGTTTCTTTTCTGTGAAGCTGATAGCAGAAGATGCGGATAGCAAGCCCAATGGTCAGATTCGTTTTTCCATTGTGGGTGGAGATAGGGACAATGAATTTGCTGTGGATCCCTTCTTGGGACTTGTGAAGGTTAAGAAGAAACTGGACCGGGAACGGGTGAGTGGGTTTGGGTCATCCCTCACCATCCACCACTACACCATCACTGGACTCACGGGCATAGGCTCATTATGAGTAGCAAGGAAATGCAGGTAGACATTTGGGTTAGATTTCTGAAAGAATTTTATACTGATAATTGCTTCTGGCAGATATTGGAGATCTTAGAAAAAAAAGACAAATATGTACCTTCCTGCATAGATTGAAATTTAGTCCATCATGAGTCAGAGAAAGAAGAACCCTTCAACCAGGACGCTGCCCCTGGTTTCATCAGGATCTTCAGTCCTTTGTGAGCTGGTCAGGAAAAATCATCTGAAGGCACTCGAGGAAAAAAGTGATTCCCAAAATCCCTTTGTCCCATTCTGAAATAATCCTTGACTGAAATGTATGTTTTCAAAGAAAGTGAAATCTAGAAATGAACTCCAGAGCAATAATACTAAGAGGCAAACTGAATCGTCTAGTGATACAGCCCTCTAGCCCAGGAATATCAAAATCAGCGGTGTAGGTCAGTGATGACAATTGTATCAAACAAAGACTCAGGCCCAGCCTTAAAGGCAGTGGCTCCTCCCCTCAGGAAGAGACAGAACTATCAGGCTGCAGGTTTTGTTGGGAAAACTAGCTGAAGTGGGCAGTATCCTAGTGGGCAGAGGCTGGGACATCTCTAAACACCCTGAAATGCATAAACCAGCTCCCAACAGAGAAAGATCCAGCCCCAAATGATGATGGCGCCAAAGTCATCGGGATATGAGAAAAGGTGACATAGCCAGAGACTTCAGGTTATCTGAGCATGTGCAGAAGGCCAAGGCTCTGCGGTTCCTAATGTCACCTCTGTGCCTTGTCAGGTGTCAGGATACTCCCTGCTCATCCAAGCAGTAGACAGTGGCATCCCTGCAATGTCTTCAACTACAACTGTCAACATTGATATCTCTGATGTGAATGACAACAGCCCAGTGTTCACACCTGCAAACTATACCGCTGTGATCCAGGTAAGCAAGTCTTGCCAGCTGGCTACTACCTGTGTGGCTCAGCCTCCTCCACTCTGGCTTGTTGAGTTCTTCTATGGAAAATAACTTAGAGTTGGAGACTCTGGCCACTGCAGTTTACTGCTGACAGTCTCAGAGGCTGAGAAGATCAAGATCACGGCTTTCCCAGATCTTGTATCTGGCAAGGGATTGCATTCTGTTTATAACGGTGACTGCTAGCTGTGTCCTCACTTGGCAAAAGAGATGAACATGCTCCTTTAGGCTTCTCTCTGAGGACTCTAGGACCTCAACAGACCTGTCTCTCAGTACTATTGCATTGGGACCTAGATATAGCCTACAGGTTATGAGTATCCAGTATCAACTTGTCTCTTCCTAGAGAAGGTATGAAAGCAACCACCTCAATTGTTGAGAATAGTTATTGAGTCCTGTTTCTTCTAAGTATTAGATGTTTCATATACACAGCCTGTCCCCATCACTGTGTGTCACGGAGGATGTAGACCAACACACACTCTCCCATCCCGTCCACAGACACAGCCTGTCCCCATCACTGTGTGTCACAGAGGATGTAGACCGATGCCCACTCTCCCATCCCATGCACACATACCTTACAGTTGAAAGAGCCAAGATCTGTAAGCATGAATAGTCTTCTCAAGATCATGCAGCTGGAAAGCAGTCAGGATTTGAACTTGAATCTATCATGTAAGCACATAATATGAATAATCCTTCTGCAGTGACAGGCTATCTTTAAGATCCCTGTTCTGAGTAGAGAGATATCAACAGGAACCGGCCCAGGACTTCAGATAGAGCAGCTCCTCCTTAAGCTCAGCTTCCATTGCAATTTATTGCAATTTATTTACTGCTTTAAATACGCCTGCCTTAAAGTCAGGCTGCAGGATAGAGTAACTTACAGCTGGCATTCTGCTTTCAGGGTGGACGCCAGGCTTCCCCATTAGCCTATTGTTCAGCAGTTAGCTCGTGAGCAGGGTACTGGAGGCTGAGAGCCAGGCTAGGAAGATGTGCTGACCCAGACTGTGAGTGTGGAAGACTTGAGACACAGCTAGAGATGCTCATGTCTTCCGGGTCCACAGGAGTTCTGGAGAAGCAGCTCTCACTGTGCTGGCTTTGCTGTCAAAGTGGCTCTCAAGTTCTCTTTGAGCCTCTGAGAAGGAGTGAAAGGAGAGAGTGCTCGGGTCTCTAGAGAGCCCTTTGGGATAAGATGGACGATCTTGAGTGTGGCCATCTATAACCAGCCTCCTTCACACAGTGACACTGAGCTGTCAGGTAACCAGGCTGAGATGTTCATGAAACAAAAGCTACCCTGTCTACTCATCCCTGGCCATTGCCAGTGCAATCTCAGCTCTTCCTGGAGACATTCTGATTTACCTCTCATCTGCTCCTGCCAGCAGCCACAGATGTGATTGCTCTCCTCCCTCCTCCCCGTCCCTCCTCCCCTCTTTCTCTTAGATCTCTGTGGTTGTGGCCTACAGGGGCACTCTCTGCCTCACCCCGCCCTGTGCCCTCCTCAGACAAAATATACTTTGCCTTCTCAACATTCCATTTATGACATGCATCCATCAGCTGGACAGACTGTTTCAGATGCGGAAGTCAGCCAGGACTTCCTCCCCTGCAGGCTGGGTTTGTCTGTAATTTCACACCCTTCCTTCTTAGACGGTGACCCCAAGGACACACATTCTCTCACTCTATTTTTTCTGAGGAGGAAATGGCCTTCAGAGAATGAGCAAACAAATCAATAAATCTTCTGTTTGTGTGGTGCTGAGTATGTTGTCTGTGTAAAGCAGTAAATCTTCTCTGGGATGACATGGTCCCACGGTGGGCTCCAAAGAGAGGCAGTGCCTGCAGCCTGGTGCTCAAGCAGGCAGAGACGGGGCAGAACAGAAACCTCTGAGGTTTGCTCCTGCTCCTTTTTCAAGGATTCCTCCCTTTTTCACACCCAGAATATTGGGTTTATCCCAGCACCTGGTTATCTTTTTCCCTGCTTCCTTTTTTTTCTCTTTCTTTTTTAATTTTAAATTTTCATTATTTAAATTTCAGTATATGGAGCCATGGCTTATCTAGAACTTATTCTATAATTTAGAATGGACTCAAACTCATGACAGTCTTTCTGCCTCTGCTACCCAACTGCTAGAAATACCAGTGTGAGCCACTATGCTCAGCAACACATAGTTATCATAAATTAATCAGCATATGAGCCTTGGGCTCCCCCAACATCCTGTACCCTGCTCCTCATCTCTTGGGACCCAAACATCTTAACCCTTCAGCTGATGTCATCAGCAGGCGAACACCTAAAGCCAACATCAGCCTAGACAGCACTAAGGCCAAAGTCTAGCGCATTGAGTCAAAGAGATGGATACTGGCCTTGGCTACAGATAACTTCATCCAGGGCTTTCAGAGTGAAGAAGATAAACTTTGACCCCAGAAGAAGGCATGACTCATCCTCATGTTCCTGTTGTCATACCAAGTTTCCAAAATAGTTGTTAAAGTTGAAGACTGCCCCTCCTCCTTCTCAAGTTGATAAATGTGCTATCTACTTTCTTTTCCCTAGAAGAACATGAAACAGCCGAGTTGTGGGGTTGGTTGTAAAGGTCCATTTGGTTTTATATGTTGACTGGAATGTCCCCCCAAAATGTCTAATGTGACACCGTGTTACAGTGTTGGGCCTCCACGCAATCACAATAAAGCATAATCATGTTGTAACAAGGGTGAGGACCCACATTTCCCTCCCAGCAGGGTGATGCTGCAGGGCCCTGGGTGGATTTCCAAGATAATCACAAGCTATGAAGGATATGACTCAGAGCTCTGTAGATAGGTTCAGAGAGTCATGGACGGGGGGACCTGGACATATCTTTGGAACCTAGGAACCTGTTCAGTCAAAGGCCTGTGTTGTCATCTGCAGAGACTGTGGTCTCCTGGCCCAGCAGTGAGGAGGCTACTACAGATGGGAAAGAGGATGCTTGCAACCCCAGCCTGTTTTCAGAAGAAATAAGTACCATGGGGCATTCCTTATGGCAAACGCCTGGCTCTAACTAAGCACTCCCAGCCAGTAATGATATTTTATTTGTTGTTGTTGTTTTGTTTTTATTTTAACTACTTTTTGCAACACTCTTTTATACAGGAAAACAAGCCAGTGGGTACCAGCATCTTACAGCTTGTGGTGACAGACAGAGACTCTTTTCACAATGGGCCTCCCTTCTCCTTCTCTATTTTGTCGGGAAATGAAGACGAGGAGTTTGTGCTGGACTCGCACGGGATCCTGAGGTCAGCGGTGGTCTTCCGGCACGTGGAGTCCCCAGAATACCTGTTGTGCATTCAGGTACAGCTTGGCCATCTGTCCACACTGGGTGCTGCTCTCTCCCATGTCTGTCCCTTCTGCCTTCACTAAGTCAAAATAGTAGCTCATGGTAGTGAAGGAATGTTCCTCTTCTAACCCCAAATTCAATGCCTGTGTGGGGGAAAAAAAGCACAAAGAGGCAGAAATGGCGGTCGTGAGTTGTGCAAGGATCACAAAAAAGAGCCATAAGTGATCAAGCACATGAAATTCCTGTCTGGGACTTTGCCTAGACCAACATTTGGATTCTAGCCATAAACCTGAATGGTGTTCAAGCCACTGTTGCCCACAGAAAGTTGCCTGACGTTGTGAAGGGTGGCTATAGTGGCTCAGTGTTCAGCTATATAAACAATGCCTTGTCTCAGAACATAAACTCTAGGGACAATGGGAATTTTCAGTGTCTTCTCACTGCCCAGCACAGTTCTCTGCACGCCAGCCTAGAGCGTGGGTATCACATCTCCCACAGTTAGCCCTCTGACTTCCTCATGGGAAACATCCACAAGATCCTCTCTTCCTCCAAGGGTCCCTGTTACTTTACCTTTTCGTCCATATTCAAACTCTCTCTGTGAGAGCCTGCTCCAACTTCATTTTCTTCCAATCCATTTCTTCACTCATCCCAGGCCAATCCTTTTACTTTGTATTATAGAGACAAGAAAATGAAAATTCCCTAGCCCACTTCCTCTCATTTTGTCAAAAAAGCTTTATCAGGGCACAACTTTACCTATAGATTTCTGCTTTTATGACTGTCCCAGGGCTGTAAAGACAGAGCTGGGTGTTTATGATACAGATAACATAACCCAAACATCCTACAGTCATCCAGTGCCTACGGAAAGTGCTTACCAGCTAAGCTAAAAGTGTCCATCGCTGGCAAGCCTTGCAAGCCTGGGCCCTCAGCCTCTGGTCTTTAGATTCTGAATGCCAGGGTCCTGAGCATCATTTCGCCATCTGTCTCAGGCACAGGCTCCCTGTCCTGCCACCTTCTGTCCAGTGACATCACTCCTTTCTGATAGTTGTTTGGCCTCTTGCATAGGGGTGAGAAACCTCTGGCAGATCTATAAAATTCAAAATCATCAATATCCTTTGAGGTGGCCACTGTTTGACTCCAAATTCAACCTAATTTACCAAACTTTCTTTTACCTCCGGGAAGTCTCCATTTTGGCATCTCTTGATTCACATATCCAAATAAATAGATACTGATGGTAACGGTGCAAACAACAGTGCACACAACTGCTTGCTAAGTATCTGTATGGGTGATGCCTGTGCTGAGCACTTCGTAATCACTTCCTCTTTTTATTCCCACAAGAACACTAGGGGCTGAAACTACTGTTATATTCATGTGCTAAAGTTGCAAAGCTTAAAGTTCAGAGAGATCAAGTAAAACTTACTCAAAACCACAAACAAAATGTGTAGAAAGCTAAGATTCAAAGCCTGTATGGCCCAGGGCTTGGATTCCCACTGCCATCTTCATTTGAGGATACATTTTCTCTGCGGAAGCTCTGTCTGCAGGGTCACTGAATCCCTGAAGATCTGACCCATGGGGACCTGACTTTATTCTGAAGTATGACACCATTGAACCCTCTATCATGCATGACAGGTGTTCATTAAAGACCTGTTGTCAAGGTTATTGTTTCATCGGTTCAACTGTTAGGAGAGAAGGGTTTTCTTTTTTGAGCTGCCCACTTCCCCTTCAGTGTGTCATCTTTTGTATCCTAAATCTTCCTATGATGTAATTCTCATTTAAGTAATGGCATTTCTTCTGTGTGCCAAAAGGTGTCACCTGGTCCAGCCAAAAGGAAAGAATCCAACAGAAAACAATGATTCCTTCTCCAAGTGAGAACATCCTTGCTGGAATATTTTTTTCGGTTTTCTGTCCAAAATTAAAATAAGACAAGCCTGGTGTGGGCAAGCTGGGTCTTGTAGCATCCTGACCATCATTCCTAGCTCACCCCACTGGCTTGATTGTGTTGACACATTTTATTGCCCATCATACAGCCCCAGAGAAGGACGGAATGTGATAAACCACTCCTCTACTTAAGTGCCCACCTCAGCAGTTTTCACAATATTGACAAGGAAGGGAGGAAGAAGTGAACCTGGTAGAAGGTCCAGAGAGCTGCTGTCTCAGGGTGACATTTCAATTATTAGTCTTAGCTCTCTGTTTGTCCACCTCTTGATATCCTTAGGCAAAGGACTCAGGAAAACCGCAGCAAGTTTCTCATACCTACATCCGGGTGAGGGTCATTGAGGAGAGCACCCACAAACCCACAGCTATCCCATTGGAAATCTTCATTGTCACCATGGAAGATGACTTTCCTGGTGGGGTCATTGGGAAGATCCATGCCACAGATCAGGACATGTATGATGTGCTCACGTTTGCCCTGAAGTCAGAGCAGAAGAGCTTGTTCAAAGTGAACAGTCATGATGGGAAAATCATCGCCCTGGGAGGGCTGGACAGTGGGAAGTACGTCCTGAACGTCTCTGTGAGTGATGGCCGCTTCCAAGTGCCCATCGATGTCGTTGTGCACGTGGAGCAACTGGTGCATGAGATGCTGCAAAACACTGTCACCATCCGCTTTGAGAATGTGTCCCCCGAGGACTTTGTGGGGCTGCACATGCATGGGTTCCGGCGCATCCTGCGGAATGCGGTCCTCACCCAGAAGCAGGACAGCCTGCGCATTATCAGCATCCAGCCTGTGGTGGGCACCAACCAGTTAGATATGCTGTTTGCCGTGGAGATGCGCAGCAGTGAGTTCTACAAGCCAGCCTACCTGATCCAGAAGCTGTCCAACGCCAGGAGGCACCTGGAGAACGTCATGCATATAGCAGCCATTTTGGAGAAGAACTGCTCAGGACTGGACTGTCAGGAGCAGCACTGTGAGCAAGGCTTGTCGCTGGATTCCCACGCGCTCATGACCTACAGCACAGCTCGCATCAGCTTCGTGTGCCCGCGTTTCTATAGGAACGTGCGCTGCACCTGTGATGGTAGGTTCAGCTAAATGGTTATTTTCCCCATTGTTGTTACAAAATACCTGGCGAAGACACTTAAACGAGAGTCTATTTTGTGTCACAGTTTGAGGGTACAGTCTGTCATTGAAGGGAAGTTATGACAGCAGGACATCAATGCTGCTGATCGCATCTGTATCTGGAGTCATAAAGTAGAGAGCAGGGAATACTGGTGCTTCGTTCTTGTTCCCTTCTTTATTTAGTTCAGGACCCCAGCCCATGGGTGATGCTGCCCACATTCAGGGGGGTCTTGTCAGATCAATCAAACCTTTCTAGAAACACCTTTGTAGGTACACATGGGTATTTCCACAGTGATTCCAAATCTAGTCAAGCTAACGGTGAAGATGAACCCCCCCCACCTCCCACCTCTGAGAACTCAGAGGGAAACCGACATGCCTCTCTTGCATTCCATCACTCATTCATCTAAACAGTAAATCTCATGTGCCTAATACAAATGCTGGGGCTGTAGAAGAAACTAGAAAAGGGAAACGTTGGGCCCCATAGTCATGGAACTGTAGCTTAGTCTACACCCAAGTGCCATTGATGTCACTGTGCACAAAGAGCAGCTGATGCACGAAATGCTGCAACCTTTGCTGCTGCTTGTTTTGATCTTACTGTTGGAGTATAAACCCCACAGCAGGCTCAGCCAAGGCAGCTTCCTGTAGGCAGAGATAAACTCAGGTAGGGATCAGGGAAGGGTTTGCCAGAGGGGAGCTTAAAGGATGAGAGAGGAACCCATCCCAGTGAGAATGAAAGCGCTTCCCCCTCTGGAAGAAGTGGCAGCCATGACAAATGAGACTAGAGAGGGCCATATCCACCCTCAGCCATTAGCTAGGATGAAGAATTAGGAAGGACCCTGAAGCAGCAAGATACGTCCACTGATTAGAAGGGCAGAGGCGATGGGGTAGGGTATGTCCATTACAAAGGGTGCAAAACAGGCATGCTAGAGGGTTCTGCTGGCAAATGAGTTAGGAAGCTGTAGCACAGGTTAATAGCAGCTCCATTTGCCTCCCTGAAAAGCAAGCCAGATGTCTATGAGTGCAGTCAATGGGCAGGCTAACCTCAGAGCAGAGCAGGCTAAGCTTCCTGCTTGTCATTGAACCTTGACCTTGGCTGGCCAAAGGTCATAGCTACACAGTCACAGGCCCTCAGTAATCAGTGAGAAGAATTGTTCTATCTGGCTCTTTTCCTCTCTTTGACTTGGGAGCCATAAATTCACAGCCCTCTCTAAGAAAATCACACTGGAGTTGCTCTATCCAACGTGAACTCGGTCCACAGGGACTGTGGCTATAAGAAGCCATTTATAAAAATTCCTTGTGGAGAGTTGAGGACAGGCAGCAGCTCAGGCCTCTTAAGCACCATTTTGGTTACAGTTTGGAGAAAAAGCTCATCAAAGGGAAGGCTGGGGACCTCAGCCCCCTGCAAGGAGCCATTTTGACAGCCTCTGAGCGTCCTTAAAGAATGGACTCGTGCCCTCTGGTGCGAGTGACTTTGGTTTGCATTTTCATCAGCGATGCAGTGACAGCCAGATCTGCAGCATATGTACTTAAGCGAGCTACAAAGTAATTCAGCACATGCATGCTAGGGAAATGCATTTCTGGCAGATGCCACCATGCACAATTTATGAGTGCCAGCTGTCCAGGTCTTGTCTAGTTGTCCTTTGCAGACAAACTGATTTATGCAGCAAAACTGTGTTGAAGAACCCACGCGGTGGTTCACGGCAGGGTTCACAAGGAGTTCAGGACAGGACGGGGAGAACTCTGCAGGGGAAACTGCAACAACACATCAATCCTCAGACTCTGCGAACTCAGAGGAAAGCAGAATGCTTTGAGGCAGCAATGTCCTAGACAGTGAGGATTCCAACGCAAAGCGCACAGCCTCCTCAGGAGCCAGTAGTGAAGAGGCGGTCTTGCTAGCACCTGACTACTGGAAAGAAGCTCAGGGAGAGAAAGCAAGCACCCTCCTGTAGCCCAGGGAAGCCTTCTATGGAATGTTTACACAGAAACCAAATATGTGGGGGCTCTTCAGATATAAATATGAGCTCAAGTCATGGGGGTTAGCCAGCTTAGCAAAGTGTCTTTATAGGAAAGACATAGTGGATTATTTATTATTTGTTTTTGTTTATTATTTTAATGCAAAGATTTGCTCTGTGGTTTATATATTATTCTGGTATTCTAAATGCAATATTTTAAGGTCATGTCCCCACCTAGGACTGCTATGGTCCCTTTAAATCTTCCTACTCTCAAGAAACCTAGAATATGAATGATTTAACAAAATCAGCCCCTTGGGAAGAGAAGAGGAGGCCTTCCGAACACACCCTAAGCCTCTCTCTAGTGAGACTTGGCTTGGTCAGGAGAGTCCTCGGCTCTAAGTCAATCTTAAAATGAAGCTGAAAAGAAAAATTCTAAAATGTACTATAAATAGAGTTGGAAATATCTGGCTCAGGCTCATCTTCAGCAGACAATGCAAGGATAACCTCCAACAAGAGAGCTGTGTGTCTTGGCCAAGATTGCATATGACCTCACACTGGTTCAATGCAGAGATCAGAAACTGTTTCCTCAAGGCCTGTATGTTGAAGGCTTAGTTTCCAGCTGATAGAATTTGTTTAAAATGTGTGTGTATGTGTGTGTGTAATATATGTATACTTGCACATGTGTTCACCCGTATGTGCCTGCGTGTGCACATGTGTATATGTGTGTGTGCATATGGAGGCCAGATGCCAGGCATCTTTCTCGTTCTCTCTGCATTTTATGTATTGAGGCGGGGGTCTCTTGCTGACTCTAGAGCTTGCTAATTTGATTAATCTATCTAGTAAGCTTGTCCTGTCGCTGTAGTCTGTGCTCTGGTGTCTTATGTGGGTTTGGGGGCAGTCTGAATTCAGAATTGGAAAGTCTTTTATCTATCACCTCAGCCCCACTGCTGGGCTTTGATGGAGCTTGCCAGTTCTAAATTCATCTGTGAATTAATCCACTCATGAATGCATAGTTGGATAGTTTGTAGAGGTGGCTCTGATAGATCAAAGAGCATACCTTGAAGAGATTGTTCATTAACTCTTTTCTGTGTCTCTCTGCTCCCTGGCTGCCTGGAGGTGAGCAACTGCTCCATCACTGTCTCTCACCATGGTGTCTGCTGTACCTCAGGCCGTGAGGACCAGTGACAGTGGGTCAACGCCTTTGAAATAATGAACCAAACCAAACCTTTCAGTTTCAGCTTAGTTTACTCAGGCATTTTATACCTGAGTGGGGTATAAAAGGGTAGGGTGGAGGAAATAACAAAATGTAACAGATCTCCATCAGAATAGCAGTTACCTTTCTCTACATATCAACCAGAATCTCAGGGATATGTGCTCCCTAAGACTTCTCAGTTAATCGTATTTCCTCGTAGAGTGGTCAGTGTGATCCCGGGAAGACAGATGGTGTCTCAGACATAGTTTGCAACCGGCTTGCAGCAGGTGCCAAGCCTCATAGTCAGGTGTAGACAGTAGGCTTGGTTCATAGCCAGGAGTCTATCAACGCGTGTGCCTCTACTGCTGATGGGCAGGAAACCAAACATGGAGGAGTGTCACAAGTTAGAGAAGAATAAATTCTCCCTTGGGCTCAAGGGGCAAGCTGTTGTTCCTCTCTGTAGTTTCCATGGAATCAAAAGTAAAACAAAGAAATGTAAAGAATTCGCAGGTACTAGCTTTTGAGGCATCTTTTCATTTATTAAAAATCAGGGATCCCTGAATTCAACAGATATTCCTCTCCCCAACACACACAGACACGCATACACCCACTCTCTAACTCACACACTAGTGTGGCGCTTCTTCTGTTTATCCTGGGAGACTGACAGATTCATTAAGTGGTCTTTGCCACCACTTGGAGGAATAATTAGCATGATAAATGAGTGTAGTGATCATTTAGGGCCATATAGTGATGTTTGTACAGAGTTGGCCTCAGTACTCTGCCCCCCTCCCAACTTCTAGCTCATCTTTTTCTCATGCAGATTTTTGGGTCCAATTATCGTCATTAGCATCTTGAACCAAAATGCTGAGTTGTGCTAACAAGTGGAATCCAATGTGAATTTTACTGCCAAATAAGCTCATTAAATCCCAGCTACCCTGAGACAATCCCTTTGAACAAAACTAGAGAGACGAGGCGCAGAATTCTGGTGTCCTGAGATGACTCCACGTGAACACTGGGAAGTCAATGAGCGTTGGCATGCCAGTCAGGAAGTCTGACATCAAGTTAAATGGGGAGTGATAGATGTCATGGCCCTCCCACGGGTAAGCAAAAGGGAAGGGCGTCAAAACAACACGTGAGACTATACTGATTATACTCATTTTAAATTTTTCATTAGCTGCTCAAAAAATATGAAATAGAAATATATCAAAAAGGACATATTGTCTAGAATAGGCTCCCAAGGTGACCATCAGCATTTAAAGTCAGTGTGTTTATAGCCACTGTGGCAGAAGCAGCTGCCTGGTTTGTCATATTGATTCAGATAAGAAACAGAGAATGGAACCTAGAGGGCCCAGGGAGATGGCTGGGACGTTTCCATGAGTGATGCTCTATGCTAGGCAGGATGAGTAAGACAGCAGGCATGCCCTCCACCAGCAAGGTTGGGCACAGCAGCTGCGCGGAGCAGCGTCTGGGCACTGGAGGTGATGGTGTCAGCTGTGGTGGGGTTGGGAGCCTTGGCGATTCCCTTATCTCAGCTCCATTCAGATAACGCCTGAAATGGACAGTTAAGCAAAGAAATGAACTTGGGAAGAGCACTTGTGAGCACAGAGGTGGAGTTGATAAAGGATTTATCATAGATCTTAAGCTCCGGGATTAGTAGAGAGGCACACAGGAAGAAAGGGAGACCCAAAAGCTTAGGTGTGGGCTTCTCAAAAGACAGTCACAGCTCACTATCTTCCTTACCATCATAAATATGATTTGAGTGTTTTTGAAGTTATTGTGGTTGAAAGATTGCTAAGGGATTTAGACAAGATCACA